CACACAATAAATAGTGATTTAAAAAAAGAGAGAAACAAACAGGCAAAGCTTACAAGTAGCTGGAACGATCGCGATTTATCAGGGTTTGCCTAATGTGTCATTTCTAATAACTGAGATCAATTTGTATGGATAGAAATCAGCTTCTAATATTTCAAGTCGGAGGGTGTATGTATATGTATATTTGTATATGGTGAATAATGGAGAAATCCTGCAAGCTGCTGTCACAGGGGGTGAGAGACAGGAGTGAGAGACAGGCGGGACTCGTGGGGTTTTTACGCGCTTTGGAGAGGCGCACTGGAACAGAGGGATCCCAAATCAGATCCATATGACCACTGCAGGCTACACAAACACCAGATAGTGCTGAACCGAACCAAACAGAAGGGAGGAGGAGGACCACCGACCCCCTGCATCTTCACAGAAATTAGAAAATACCACTCCGCTCCATTTGAACTTGAGCACGACACATTTAGATAGAGTAATTTTCCTTTATGTCAAAGGAAACGCCCACCCCTAAAAACAAGAAACACACACACACAGCAGGACGAGATGAGAGATGACAGGTGGAAGCGACACACGCGGCAAATACACATCTAAGATTATCGCCAGGGGTCAAATCCAAGTCCTGCGTCACACACAGCCGCTGGAGTCACAGCACCACCCATCTACTGTGTATTTCCAGGGTCAAACAGGACAGGAATCATTTCAACACACACACACACACACACACACACACACACACACACACACACACACACACACACACACACACACACACATTCATGCACTACACTCTGTGGTCTGCTGGACAAATAAGTGAGAAAACACACATGGATAGGATCTTGCAGAATTTTACATATGTAGCGATCGACAACTCATATCACACTATACTCCACAGGAGATGCAGAAACAGCTTCTAGTAGAGAAATAAGCTGAGCTAAAGCCTCTTGTGATCAAACCTCCGGAGCTATGGAAGGGGGCCCCTGGGGGCCAAAAGCCACCTGGAGTTCTATGAAAGTAATTTTAGATATAGCCAAAAGCAAAAGAGGAAGAATTATAGATGCTTAACCCCTATGAGTGCTCCTAAACTTTACCTCTGTGGCAGGTGATCCATATTTGCTGTGCGCGGAGAGTTGAGGAGGGCCAAGGGTTCATGGAGCACTGCCTGTCTATCAATTGGTTTGGCCCCTGTGCCCTGAATACCTCAGCGGAGGTGAACCCCCCATTGCCTTAAGTGTTTTCCCGAAGCCAATAAAACCAAGTGATTAGTGGAGCTGCTCCGTTTTTTTTAGGTGTTAGCTCGTTAAGGGAGTTAATAGTGAAGGTGTTTACTTTTGCACGACAGACGCTCTACAGGAGGGGTCGGCTGAGACCTCAGCCCAGGAGGTGTGCACCAGTCCATCTATCAACGCTCTGTGTTCCTGTGTTAGGATGTATGCAAGATGCAATACTAAAGTCAGAGATGCTTCATAAACTCCAGTGAAATGATCTGTCTAATTCATGATCTGAGCTTTTACACTTGGATTAAATATCATGTGGCACATTTGGCACAGGGGATGAGGCGTCAGAATGACACCTGCATCCTCACTATACCTGCACACTCAGCTCACATGGCCTGCTCTCCTGCCAGGATCACTTTTGTGTTTTGAATTTCAGCACGTGTGGAACAATCGGCTTACCTCATTCCCGTGGCAGAAATACTACCCTTCACCTATTTTGAAGCACATACCGTACTTTTTGTTGAGCTCAGTCAGTCATCTGGCCGTCTGTCTATTGTGTGTGAGACACAGGAGGGTTTGGTTCTACACAGAGTGAAACATGACGGTGAGGGGCTGGGGTTGTATCTTAACACTTACACTCAACACACTCAAACACGTGTATGTGTGTGTGACTGCTGTCATATTAGAAGAAATTAGGAGCTGTGTAAAACCACTTGCAATGCTGTCAGATATGTGGTTTCTGAATAATTTGTAATGTTGTGCATCTCTACAAGCCTGTGGCGCATCAGCTGAATCTAATCCAGTTAAACAAGTTGTTTTTTCTGCTTATAAGGGCAAAAAGATATCAACATGAAAAATTGGCTTTGAATTCCAAAAGGTCATACCCTCCCTGTGGTCAAATGACAGACAGTGATGTGATATTCTCTCTCATAGCTTAAAGGATAAAATGTGTGCATCGGATCACAGACAAACATTAATTCACTTTATGGCAGCTTGTAAATTAATGTGGAATCATCAAGTTGGTATTTTGCTCGTCTGACATGACTGAAATTTGAAATGATTTTATGCATAAATAAGCTTTTTTTTCAGGCTTATTTTAAAATAACAGAATCATAAGCTCTGTAACCGGTGCTGACGGTTTGAGGCTTCCTTAAGTTTTAGCCAATAACACCTAGCAGATTTATGCATCATGTGATTACATTTACAAAAATACATTTTCTGACTGAACGGAAACACAGATTGTTTTCCCACAACACATTGTTTTTTAATTTAAAAGTAATGCAATGCTATATTTTCATCTCTCTTGAGTGCCTGAAGATTGCAGTTTCCTTTCAGAATGCAAACCAAACAGACAATCAGCATTAGCCAAACCCTGAATATTTCTGTAGATGTTTCATCTTCAGATTGTGGTTTGCATGGATGTATTACATTATCTGGCTTGTATTTGTAGATTTGTTGATGTTTGTCGTGTCTTTTTAAAATCCATTTTTTATTCATTCATAGTTAACAGGATATCTTGACTCTGATGAGACACATGACCAGTGGAATAAAAACTGCAATTTTAACTAAAAAGTAGACCATCATTTTCTATGATGAGCAATAAAGTGAACAATATTTTCTCCCAACCAAAATAGTTACATGTTAACTGCAGCTACACATGTAGCATCCTCAGTATTTAAATACACGTCCTTTTAAAGTACAAACTAGAGCACATCAATGCCAGAATTTCTCTTTAAGCCCAAACACAACTTCCTGAGCCACACAATGATAAAGTAGAACTGAGGTGTATTGACTGGGCTCGTGCATTTTAAATATTCACATGAGATATAAAACGCGTAACAAGAATGATAACCTGTGCTTTGTCTGTATTTTCATCTGATGTTTTTGAATATGTGCAAATACGTTTCCTGGGGAAGGAAAAAGGGGGGAGAGACAGAGGACACTCGTTTTAACGTATTCTGTTTAGAATTGTAAATGTATCGCATAGGCCCTGCTGTCCAATTACATATATCTTTCATGTATGAAATCATGCATGTCTTTCTGTCTAAAAAGGGGGAGGGCAGGCACAAAGGGAACAACCCCCCCGAATGCAGCAGAACAGTGTGCAGCCCACATGAAAAATAAGGTCTAGTGTCGGAGCCCTGGAGCCCTGGGCAAGTGCAGCTCCATCAGCTCACAGGCCAGGGAGGGGAGCTGCTTCCCCCCACACTGGAGCCCTCTCCACTCCTGACTCCTGCCGGATTAGCGCCAGTCTACTCTGAGGCAGCTGACCCTTTGGGTCCTAAATCAGACTTTATGGAAAAACACATTTCAAATCACGTCCTTAATTAGCTCCGCAATAATAGATCTAGTTTCTTGTTCTTTCAAGTGTTTTACCCACATAAAAAAAAAAACTTTAAAGATCCAAGAGGAAAAAAAAGATGTTTATTTATTTATTTTGTCTTCCTTCATTCTCATTTTCAAAACAATGACTTGCTGCTGGGTACCAAATTTCACTGACCCAGATTTTGTCAAATTACTTTGAACTTTTCAAAACAGAATTCTTTAGGTCCCTTAACTACTCATCTCAGTGCTGCTGTTTCCACTGTCAACAATATACTCACTTAATGGTATAAACACTTTTTATTTTCAATTAGGCCTGTTTTCATAGCAATGAATAGAGAGAGGAAGTGCTTTGTCATGTCGTAGGTGCAAAGTCTAATCTCTGTAGCCTTATATCAGGCCCTGTTTGATTCTGAGTCTTTGCCTGAGTAAAAACATAAAATCATACACATTCCCTGATCAAGCAGAGTAATTTAATATAGTCCAGACAACCTGGGATCAGGTCTTAATCACTGCATGAGAGTGTGTTGTCGGTCCTCTGCAAAACAACTGGGAAACTGAATCTTAATAAAACTGGGAGAGAGTGAAGCTGAGCCAAATCAATTTCAAAGTCCCTCTGAATGGAAATACTCATTTCACATCCATGTGCTGCGAAGCCCAAAAACCCATGTATGCATCAGAAATGTGCCGAGATTCAGACTCATACTGTAGCTATTCTTATACCAACACATATAAGAATGCACAAATATCATAACACACCTATCTGTAAACACACACACGCACAAATAACATAATATACACCTAGCTGTAAACACACAAATGGCAATGACATTTTATCAGCTAGAAAATCGCTTGTCCTCTTTGTAAACTAAAAACATCATTCACATATTCCATTACTGACAACATTACAACTGTAACAGAAAGCATACAGTAGTGTGTATGTACTATAGAAGTGTCATTTAAATAAATAAAATTCATTTCCCATCCCTGTGTGTGCACATTTACATATGTTGGTCTGTCAGTTTATGTGTACTTTCAGCGTGTGTTTGCATGTCCTCAGATTGTGACAGGTGCAAAAGCTCCTGAGAACGTGCTTGTGTACACGGAGTGTGTGATCCGCCTGGTCAGGCACACCAAGTCACGTCAAATTTCTACCACGTTTGCTCAGGCGCTGGCCAGTCATTGGCTGAATCTGCAAGGGGCAAGTGAAGAACCCACAGCCACCATCTACCAACCAAACAACCTCGACACATTCAGAGCCTCTAATCCGAGAGGAACAAACAGGTGAGCAGAGCATGAAAGCCGAGCATTTATCAGCCAGACATTCCCTTTGCATCAAGTCTGAAGACGAGCAGAGCGAGTGGAGGGACACAAACTAGGGACAAGTTAGCTTCAAAGCCCAGAAGAAGTTAAAGGGCTCAGGGCCGGGACAGCAGGAGCAAGGGGACTTCACAGCCTTACCTGATGGGGTTTTTGGTCTGAGTCGCCACCGCACGGAAGCCTCTCTGACTGCGATTCCTTTTCAAGTGTCCGTTTGAAGTCGGCAGGCAGAAAGGTCACGCCCTCTTGGTCACAGCAGGTTTGTCGAAACGATGGTGGATGGCCAGCGGCTATTGCTAATGTTCAGACTTTAGTCTCTTTTTTTAGACAAAAAAATAATAATACAGGAGAATGTAAAGCTATTGATCTGGTGCCTGGGCACCTGAAGAAGTTTTGGTGATATACTCCTAGAATTCCAGGTATTTCCAGGGTTTTCCAAAGCTATAAGGTTTGGGATTCAGGGACTCCCAGGTCACAAGACAAAAAAAAAAATCAGGATGACTCCATCACCTGGAACAAGAAACAGAGAGAGAGAAAAATAGCATTAGAATAATGTTTTGAACAGTTTAGAGAATGACAACAAAGGAAGAGTTCCACTGCAGCCCTGTCAGAGCAGCACCCACGATTTCTGTACCTCATCCCTCAAATCCCAGCAGATAATAAATGTCTTTCAGGAGAAACAAACCAGAGCAGTATGACTTCCATCAAGACCTCCAAATTAATCAGCTGTTTTTAGAGCCAACAAAATTAATCTATAATTATCTGTATGATACGACTGCAGCCTCTCATGATTTCAAGATTACATTCAACTGCAAATGAACTGCTGCAAGTAATTTCTCCTCTCGTACCACTGAAGACTTAAAAATTACAAACTTAATTTTCCCTGTAACCAGAACAAGACGTATTCCTGTAATAGCATATATAATTGCCTGCTCTGCTGTGGATCTCCCATATATGACAACAAAGTCTCACAGACAATACATATTTATTCAACTGTCAATTCCAGCACTGAAAAAAAATAATAAAACATGTAAAAAAAAACATATAAAAAAGATTTTGAATTCCACATGGACCTGGTTTGTGAAGCTGGGTAAATATGCTTGTCATGTGTTCCAATAGTTCCAGAGCGACAGAGATTTAGTTTTGGAATACAGGCGGGAGAGAGCAGACAGCTTGTGATAAGTGAATAGCTCTTTTGAAGCCACTTCCATTTGGAAACACTGTGCGATTATTTTTACCTCTGTGGTTAGACTCGAGTTAAAGCCCATGTTTAATTGTTCCCAGGAGTTCGTATTGTGGTGCTGATAAGGAGCTCGGGGAGCAACATTTAAAACTGCTACAAAAATAACTAGACTCATTGGCCACAGGTCTGATAGAGTGACAACAGAGGATCCATACGGCAGAGAAAGACAAAATAAAACAGGTGAGGAGTGGAAGAGAGACATGGGAGCAGGGGTCTTATGAGGGGTTTGCATCTGAGTAGTTTCTCATGGTCCTAATTTTAATGTTTGCTCAGCTTCACAGAGTCACATCACTTCTGTGAAATATCAATTTAAATAATGATCCTTTTAGGCGGTCTGTGATAAAGCGTATACAGTACATTAGCTGCTAATCAATAAATTATCTTTATGACAGCGTTTTGTCAGCAGTTACGGCAGACAGAAGGCAGCCCTGTTCATTTGTCGTCCCTCTTCCTTTCTGTCTCGCTCCGTCCGAGGCCGCGACTTCCCGGTTTGTCAGGGCAACCTGTGGGAGTGTGTGTGCATGTGTGTGCGTGTGTGTCGGATCAATAGCCCACCCACAGCAGAGCCGCGGGCCATCCCTGACCTGAGCTATTGATTAGGCCCGGCTCAGCTGCCAATAGCAATGTGCTGAATGTGACACCAGGCTAAGACAGGAGCTGAGGAAGGGGGATTCTGAATTGCCAGTGGCAGCCCCACAGCACACCGCAGATAAAAGTCAATTCCACTTAACCAAATCACTGACAACTAAATAGTTAGCAGACAGAAGAATGCAGAGTCTCTGATGGCAGCAGCTAGATGGCTTCGGGGATTTCCTAGCCCCCTGACCTGTGTGGGAAAGCACAGCAGGCCATGGGAGAAACGCTGCGACATATGTTGGTCTTTCTGTGCAGGAAGCATGACCTCTGCTTGCCTGACAGTTTGTTTTTGGATTAATATGATCAGTTCTCTTTCTGCAAGTTACACCTCTGCCACTGACACATTAGGGTCACGCTCTATCGATGGCTGCATCAAGATCAGTTATCCCAAAACATGATCAGCTTCTCAATAATGATGTTTGATTGATGCTTACTGGCATTTTCACACCACATGTACATATTCATCTGCAAAATAGAACAATTAAATCATTGTTGAGCTATGTGTGTATTATGATCTTTAAGTATAATGGAAAGAATGCAGCTTCCTGTGAATGAGGTGTAGAGTGACATGTTGTATTCATATTTTATTCCTGGAGAAAATCAACTGATTTTAAAGAGCAGCTATTCAAACTGAGGCCTCGCCACTGTGCTTCCTGTAACCGCATGCACCGATGTAATGCAGTCCCACTGAAGTTGTCAGACTCCTTTCGATCCATCTTGTTCCCAGTCATTACCAGTCCATATTAGAGTAGTTTACATGTCACTTTACCGGTCCTTTGCCTCGTGAATGTAATTCTGTGGCCACTGCCTCCTTGTGCATTCAGCACCTATCTATGGCTCCATATCTCTCCCAGTAATTGCTGAGTGACAGAAAGGCAATACTGACCACTTCATTATGGGACAGCCAGACTGACTGGACACTGGCCTCTTGGCTCTGGGGTCAGCGTGGCCAGACTGACCTTATCTGCCCAGGTCGCCAGGGGTCAGCCACCTAGAATTTATAAGGACTTTACTGGAGTTGCCATGGGTGCCATACAGCAAGGTCGCCTGACTCAGGCGTACTGCTTGTATCAGGTATTGATTGCAGTTTGTCTACTTCAGTTGAGGCTGGACTAATCTCCTAACAGGGTCTCAGGGGCAAAGGCTTCAGTGTAAAGTTAAGTGTTGGAAGCAACAAGCGCGGTGGTGGGGGCGAGTGGATACTAGTGTCCGTACGCATGACACAACAAGGGATGGGTGGCTTTAAAACAACATGAGTAAAAACAGTGAGCTGTATGAAGAAGACTGAAACTATTTCTGCTGCTCAAACCTGGAGAAAGAGCTTCTATTCTGCAGGATGCGCTCGGTGAATGAAACTCTGTGCATGACAATTTTATTGAGTAATGAAATCTTGCTTATAAAGAGACAGACAGGATACCAATCATCTCTCTGCATGAATGCAACGTGCACTATTACTCGTGTTGCTTTAAATTGTTTGGTTTTCTGTTGGCGAAGTTAAAGTAAGAAGGCAGTGATCAGTATTTGTTCCAATCATCACATTGCTCCCAAGAAAGTGTGTTAGTCCAGACACAAAAACAATTATCTATGAGTCTTTCTGTCAACCACCTTTAGCTAAAACTGATGGATGAGATATGTGCATTTGTTAGTCTGCAACTAGATGTGAATTTGTGTGTGTGTGTGTGTGTGTGTGTGTGTGTGAGTGTGTGTTTGTGTGTGCATCTGCACCATCTTGTGCCTGTGTGAGACCCTTTATGTACATACTAAAGCATCCCTGATGCTTGTTAGATCTTGTCTCTCGGCAGCTGCTTGGCACCGTTCATATTAAATCACAATAATGGCAGATGAGCTCTCGCACTGGAGAGACAAGCATCTATTTGAAACTGCACTTTATTACACTTTGTTCCTTTTAATCAAAAAAACTACGCGAAAAGATAACCCGGTTTTAAAAATCCCAGATAAACAGCAACGATTGCATCTTTAAATAATAGATGATCCCCTGCCTCTTACAGACGGGAATATAACTGAAAATAATTGAAGACAACAATGTCCTATAAGAGCACCACTCGAGCAGTGCTGATTCAGAATCCCTCATAACTTCAAACATTCAGTCATAAAGTATGGATAATCCGCAAAAGAGAGGCATGAGTCTGTTTACAATTTCCTTCTAATTAAGGCTACAGGATGGGGTCTACCTTTGTTAAAGTTGATGTGTGTTTGTTAGACTTCCCGAGAAACTGTACCACCGGCAAATTAGGGGTGGAATACAAAACGAAACAAACAATAACACTCTAATATGATCTGCAGTCAAGGAATAAATATTTCACAATCTGTCTACATTTGACATATTTTCAGTTGAGAACAAAGGATTTCTCAACAACAAATTGCCCAAACTTGGCCTTGAGACAATAACCTCTTCTGACCTGCATTAATTCACAAAGTGATGATGGTGACTTTTGCTTGACGACTGTATATGTAATACACACAACTGTTTGGAATTTTTTTACTTCTTCTTCCCAAAAAAGAGATTTTGTGTTCCCATCTATGGAAGAGAAACAGATCAAAACAGACAAAGAAGTTGAAATCTAGCACAAATCAGGATTGTGTGGCATGTTTAAAACAATAAATGTTTCAAACCTAATTATACCTTATACCCATAGGTGCCTGACACTGATCAGCCTCTACATGGAGCCTCTGTGAATGGCTGGTTTTAAAACCACGCTGACATCCTTTGGACGATGATACACAAAAGCACTTTACTGTATAAGGCCCTTGGGAGGGGCTGAACTAAAAGAGTATGGAAAATCAGGTAAGCACCGTGCTGATGAAGATGATGTTTTCCCATTTCCCCACTGTGAGCCAGGCCGGCAGTGTGCTGTGTGTCTAAGAGGGATAAGGTAGTGCTTGATGATTAATCACTGGACATAATAAAGCTTCTCACCATGAGCGCACAGTCCAGCTGATTCGATGCTATGATTGGAGCCGATTAGAAAAGAGAAATAATCATTCCTTACAGTGCGTTCATAGTGCACTCTAATGATATCTTCTGATTGGACCTCGCCGAGGAGATAATAAGGGCCGTCTTCAGAATGGACTCCAAGATTATTTCTTTAACTTCATGAAATGGGGCCACGGGTCTGGATGCTGCAGATTTGAGGATTAAGATAAGCTGACCTTTCACATTATGACGCCATGTATAAAAGATGAAGTTTACAGTCCCCTCATCACATTAGACCTTATCAATGGATAGAGCCTCTGTGAAACCCCTTTGAACATCACAATAGTGTTTCAGGCTGGTATACAACAGGCCTCGACCCCCCGCTGCGGGATTATGTGCATGCATGTGTGTGTGTGTGGAAAGGGGTGTGGTGTGGACATGCACGCTTGCTTGTTTGGACAAGGTTAAAGTATTAATCTAGTGTAAAAACTTTGTCTCCTTTTCATGGTCATGTGAGACAAAAATTTAAAAATACAACTCAAGTATTTAACGTCTCATTTTTACCGTTGTGGCTCGTTACATTAAACAGATTTGAAGGCAACAGATTATTAGAACAGTACCAGCATCTAATAAGTGGATATTAAACATTTGATATTTCACACAGTGCTGTCAGGCTCAGAATGCCCATTTTAACTC